ATTTCTGCCTCAAAGAGACAGACATGTTAAGCATCCGAAGAACGGGTCCCCATCATGAAATTAAATTGTTCACACTTGGAGAAAAATGCATTTCTAAAGCATCACTTTGAAAAGCAGACCCCCAAACTCTCTCATCCTGTTCGTATCCTTTGCATGTTTCTACGTGCTTAGCTCATAAACGTTTCCTACTCTCTCTGGATTTGTGTTCCATGTGCTGTCTTTCGTGAAACTTGAGTGTTATAATTTGTAATTTGAATAAAGCATAGAGTTTATTTATTTTTAAGGCCTATAGTTACAGGGGAAATCTGATTGGATGTATAACTGAATCTGATTTTTCAAGAACAGATGCCTGGACATCTGGGTGTTTAGCAGCTCTGCATGTGGTTTTATGACTGGTGGTTTCAGAAATGCTGGTTTAACCTGGTTCTGACCACCCTGAGTTCACTCCCCTCCCTCCTGCAGGGGGAGCAGAAGGGGATCTGACACCGCCTCCCCCTGGCCAGCCTGCTTGAGGGTAAGAGGTCAGCACAGGCCTTTTGCCCTGCAGTATGGGAGCTTGGTGATGGGCCCTTCCAGCCCCCAAGCTTTCTCTCAAGGTGGGGGAATCGTCTGGAGCAATGGACACTGACTGGCCTCACTGCACCTGTGGCCTCAGCATCATGGTCTTTCGGCCTGTGCTTCAAGGCCTGCATTCCATGGGGACCACAGACCACTTGGCACCATGTCCTCCCAGGCCTTTGGAGAAGCCCCCGCTGGCACTGTTGGGCTGACTCCATGGGGCCCTGAGGCAGAGTTTCTTAGGACACCCCCTTCCCTGATTGGGAGTGTCCAGATGTGAGCTCCTACATCTCCCTGGAAATGACCTTTTTTTATTTTTTTGAGATGCAGCCCAGAGGCCAGACCCTGAGCCTCAGCTGGAGCTGCTAAGGGTTAGATTATGTCCTCCCCCAAATCCACACATTGAATTCCCAGCCCCCGTACCTCATAAAACAACTGTGTTTGGAGATAAGCTCTTCAAAGACTTGATTAAACTAAATTGAAGCTGTTAGGGTGGGCCCTAGGCCAATCTGACTGGTGTCATAAGAGGAGGAGATTTGGGCACACAGATGCCAGGCCTGCGCGTGAAGACGAAACAGCGACAAGGAACAATCTCAAGCCTGGGAGAGGCCTCGGCATAGACCAGCCCTGACTACGCCCTGACCGCGGACTTCCAGCCCCCAAGGCTGTGAGAGACGTGTCTGTTTAATCCCACACTGTGTGGGATTGTGTCCCGGCAGCCACGGCAGTTGGAGCAGATGGGTGCACAGGCTCAGGTTCACAAAGGGTCTGCACCTTTGCTATCCTGCTGTGTCCCAAGGCTTTGCAGAATCTTAACTCTTGGCAGCTGGTGAGTGGCTGTTTTCCTGCATCCCAGTGCTATCAAAGTCTTGGTGACTTTTGCTTGTATTTTCCTATGAGTAAAAAATGTCCATGTTTATCACCCATTTGTTCTTACTCTAATATAAACTGTGTCTTTGGCTTACTTTACTGTTGGGGTGCTCCATTTTTCTTACTGATTTGCTGGAGTACTTTGTAGAGTAAAAACATTGAATTTTATGTCATATATTTGGCAAATATTTTTTCAGTTTTTATTTCTTATTGTGTTTCTAATTTGGCATGGGAATGTTTAAATGTTTTACATGTTCAAAGTCTTTAATTGCACTTATATTTGAAAAATTCTTTTCCCATACATGAATCAGATGGGTGGAAGATTTAACTAAATCTTCAATTTTTAAATGATTTCATGTTTTATTTTTTAATTTTTTAATCCAATTTTTATTTATTTGGTATCTGGCATGGGAATAAGGATGTCAACTGATTTTTTCCCCAAAGATCTGAATTTTGCTATACAATTAAAAATATAATAATCTAGTCATGGTCCTTTGAACTGAAATGTTTTCTTTTTCCTATATTACTATTTACATATCAAATTCTGATTTTTGGTTATTATTATGATTCATTGCTCTCTTTTCTTCCTTCCTCAATACTACTATTGGTATCATCACACTTATACGCAATGACTATACTAATTATATGTATATTAGTATTATATTAATATAATTATACTGCATACTAATTATAGGGCAAATTTCTCTTCATTACTTCTCTTTTTAGACTTTTTCCTGTCTGTTCCTATCTATAAGTTTTAAGTATTTTTTCAGGTTCTCCCAATGACTCATTATTGAAATGTTGCTTGGTAATTATAGTCTACTAATTAAGTGGAAAGAATCGATATCTTGTCTCACTTCATTTAGACCTACTTGTTGACTATGTCTTCAAACTTATAGATTTAGCCTTAATCATCCTTACCATTCTAGTTAGGGCTGTTGCCAGGTATTTTATTTTTTCATCACTATTTTCCTATGAAGATTCCCAATCACTTATCACTGAATCAAAAGGACACTATTGACTTCTGGATATTCTCTGAATACCACCATTTTGTCAAGTTCTCTTATCAACTCAAACAGGTTTTCCATTGATTCTTACAAAGACTCTGGTTAGATTTATCATCACTCACAGCCAAGATGATTATCTGGAATCATGTTCCTAATTAGAAGTGTGTCTCATTTCTCCTTCATGCTAAAGATTAGAGGTGACAACAGCTGCTTGGCTCATTTTTTAGTGTACATGATTCTTGGTTAGCAAAATGGAGTGTCCATTTTTGAGTCTTCTGAGTACAGAGAACATGACTCTGTCCCGGCCACTGTCTGATTATCATCCAGTCAAGAGAGTGGTGCTGAGGTAGGTGGTTTGAGGAGCATGGGCCAATTCTCTTATAGTGTAGATTTCCTCCCTGGATCAAACTAGACCCTCAAGAGCCACTCATTTGCTCCCGGTGTCTCAGGCCCCCAGAATTGCCTTCCCAGAGTTGTGTACCCCTTCCCTTAACTACATGTATCAGTTCAGTTCAGTTCAGTCGCTCAGTCGTGTCCAACTCTTTGCGACCCCATGAATCGCAGCACATCAGGCCTCCCTGTCCATCACCAACTCCTGGAGTTTACTCAAACTCATGTCCATTGAGTCGGTGATGCCCTCCAGCCATCTCATCCTCTGTCGTCCCCTTCTCCTCCTGCCTCCAATCCCTCCCAGCATCAGGGTCTTTTCCAATGAGTCAACTCTTCGCATGAGGTGACCAAAGTATTGGAGTTTCAGCTTCAGCATCAGATGCATACAGATGTATATATGTATAAGTGTGTGTGTGTGTGTGTGTGTGTGTGTGTGTGTGTGTGTGTGTGCGCGCTCAGCTGTATCTGACTCTTTGTGACCCCATGGACTGTAGCCTATCGGGTTCCTCTGTCCATGAGATTTCCCAGGCAAGAATATTAGAGTGGGTTGCCATTTCCTCCTCCAGGGGATCTCCCTGACTCAGGAACAGTACCTGCATCTCCTGTGTCTCCTGCATTGGCCAGTGGATTCTTTACCACTGATCCACCTGGGAAGCCCATATGAGTACATACATATGCATATATGTACATACCCACATACTCTGAGACACCTGAGAGCAGGTGTCGGAAACCCAGTTACCAGAATGACAAAGCAGGAACTTACTACTAGGGTGCTGATGTCATAATGGCAGCAAGTGTCACACTAACTGAAATTTGAATCATAAAGCTTTTGGTAGCAGCAAACTGCAAGTTTTGTGTTGTCTCAGATTGTGTGAGTATGGGTCAGTAGAAAGAGGTCAGAACTTAAAATCTGGAACCATGTCCTCCATCTCAGCTCTGACACCAATGAACCCTTTAGAGGTTTAGAGAGCCTGTGAAGTTCCCTGACATCTCCATAGCACTTCCTACACATGAAGGAGGTTAGATACGTGACTCTTTCAAATTCTTTACTTATATCTTATCAGAAATCCCAAAGGTTCATGAACATCAGAAAAGAAATTCCCACCCATTATTAAATCATGTCCCTCTACAGAAGAGTATTTTTGGTGTCAGTTCTAGGAAGTCTTGTAGGTCTTCATAGAATCATTTAATTTCAGCTTCTTCAGCATTAGAGGTTGGGGCATAGACTTGGATTACTGTGATGTTGAATGGTTTGCCTTGGAAACAAACCAAAAGCACTGTCATTTTTGAGACTGCAATCAAGAATTGCATTTTGGACTCTTTTGTTGACTATAAGGGCTACTCCATTCTTTCTCAGGGATTCTTGCCCACAATAGTAGATATAGTGGTCATCTGAATTAAATTATCCCATTTCTGTCCGTTTTAGTTCACTGATTCCTAAAATGTTGATGTTCACTCTTGCCATCTCCTGTTTGACTCATTTGAAAAGACCCTGATGCTGGGAAAGATCAGGGCAGGAGAAGAAGGGGGCGACAGAGGACGAGATGGTTGGATGGCATCACTAACTCAATGGACATAAGTTTGAGCAAACTCTGGAAGATAGTGAAGGAAGGGAAGGATGGCATGCTGCAGTTCATAGGGTGGCAGAGTTGGACACAACTTAGCTACTGAACAACAACAACAAAAGAATTATCTAAATTTCCAATGTTGCCACTAAGACTACATAAGTGAGTGAAAAAAAATTTTTCAAGAGTGAGTGAAAAAAAAAAATCAAGATTAAAAGAATAGGGGACAGGGACTTTCTTGATGGTCCAGCAGTTAAGACTTTGGGTTTCCAGTCCAAGGGGTACAGGTTTAATCCTTAGTTGGGGAACTAAGATTCCACATGCCATGCAGTATGGCCAAAAAAAAAGAAAAAGAAAAGGTGGGGGCAAGTAGGACAGCTGGACTCCCCATCTACATCAGAGGAAATGATATTATAATTTCACACCCATTCCATCAACAAGAACATGGGCACAACAGACATTAGGGCTTTTCAGAAAGGGTAGAATTAATGTTTCTGATTTACAAGCAGGTGCCACTCGAACACACACTTTCGTCACCCCTCATTTTTTTCATAAATAAGATCAGAAGCTATGAATAGCCAACTATTTCTAATGCTTTTGGAACACATGATCACTTTAATTCTGTAATGAGTGTCTCAAGTTTTTCGTGCAGGGCACCAGAAAACTGGCCCACCTTTTCTTCTTTTCTATAAAACTGAAAGGTTGGAACGCAATCGACCTTGCACTCTCTCACCAGTTGTTCGCACTCGTCAGCATCCACTTCCAGAAACACCACATCCTCATACTTCAGGGACAGGGTCTGGAAGAAGGACTTGATGGTCTTGCAGGGCTGGCACCACGTGGCCGAGAAGTCCACGGCCACCAGCCGCTCCCCAGCTTCCTTTAGCGCCACCTCAAAGTCTTCTTTGCTCAGGATCACCTTCACCAGGTCCTCATCCAGGAACTCTGCGTCTTCCTCTGACTGCAGGCTATTGCCTCCTGAGGGCCAGACCGTGTCCTCTAAGGACCTGGTGGTCTCACCCTCCTTGGGCAGAATGGTTTCAGTTGAGGACTTTGGAGTCTGACCCTCCTTGGGCAGAATGGTTTTGGCTGAGGACTTGGGGGTCTCACCCTCCTTGAGCAGAATGGTTTCGGCTGAGGACTTGGGGGTCTCACCCTCCTTGGACAGAATGGTTTCGGCTGAGGACTTGGGGGTCTCACCCTCCTTGGGCAGAATGATTTTGGCTGAGGACTTGGGGGTCTCACTCTCCTTGAGTAGAATAGTTTGGGTTGAGGACTTGGGAGTCTGACCTTCCTTGAGCAGAGTGGTTTCGGCTGAGGACTTGGGGGTCTCACCCTCCTTGGGCAGAATGGTTTCAGCTGAGGACTCAGGGATCTCACCCGCCTTGGGCAGAATGGGTTCGGCTGAGGACTTGGGGGTCTCACCCTCCTTGGGCAGAATGGGTTCGGCTGAGGACTTGGGGATCTCACACGCCTTGGGCAGAATGGTTTCTGCTGAGGACTTGGGGGTCTCACTCTCCTTGGGCAGGATGGTTTTGTCTGAGGACTTTGGGGTGTCACCGTGCTTGGACAGAATGGCTTTGGTTGTAAACTTGTGGGTTTTACTCTTCTTGGGCAAACTGAATTTTGCTGGAAAATTGGGGGTATTGCCCTGCTTGGGTGAGATGTTTTTTTCTGAAGAAGTGGGGATGCCCACCTGATTGAGCAGCGTGGTTTTGAGTGGGAACTTGGGGGAGTCAGCCTGCCATGATGAAATGATTTTGCCTGGGAAATTAGGGGAATCGGTCTGCTTGGGTGAGAGGATTTGGTTTGGGGAGTTAGGGGAGTCAGTCTGTTTAGGTGAGATGATCTTGACTGGGAAATTGGGGGAGTCAGCCGGCCATGATGGAATGACTTTGGCTGAGGAGTTGAAAATGTCACCCTCTTTTGTCGAGATGGTTTTTTCTGAGAATTTGGAGGCATGAGACTGATTGGGCAGAATGGTTTGGATTGGGAAGATGGGGGCGTCAGCCTTCTTGGGCAAAATAGTTTTGGCTGAGGGCTTGGGGGTGTCACCCTGCTTGGGCGAGGTGGGTTTTTCTGAAGAATTGGGGGTGTTGGCCTGCTTGTGCAGGGTGGTTTTACTGGGGGGATTGAGAATGTCACCCTCTTTTGGCAGGATGGTTTTTTCTGGGAAATTGGGAATGTCACCCTGCTTTGGTGAAATGGTTTGGGTTGAGGAACTGGGGGTGGCAGCCTGCTTGGGCAAGATGTTCTTCTGGGGGGAATTGAGAATTTCCCTCTTTTTTGATAGGATGGTCTTTTCTGGGAAACTGGGAATGTCAGCCTGCTCGGACGGGACGGCTTTTGCTGAGGAATTGAGAAAGTCCCCCTGTGTGGGCAGGGCAATTTGGGCTGGAGAGCTGGGGGTGTCACCGCTCTGCTCAGGTGGGAGTGTGTGCACGGCCTGCAGGGCTTCAGATGCCCCCACATGTGTACGTTGAACATTGCTGACCTCGTGGACAAAGGCCTCCAGGGTGTGTGCTGGGACCTGGAGAGTCACATGGCTGGACATAACCTGTGATAATGGACTTTCTGAAGAAAAAGGTAAAAAAAATAAAAATGTCAGAGAAGAAACAAAAGCATTCTGATCATCTACTCCAAGGAAGACGGGCAGGCGTCCTTCTTAGAACGCATGAAGGTAGTCTTCTAACTGATACAGTCATTTGCATACTCATATTCCACACAAGACCAAGCAGCATGTGATTACATGTAATCTTCACCTAGGTTGTTTTTCCTTTAACTACAAACTTCTCTGCTTAGCTTGACACTGCAGCTGACCCCCTAAGCACACAGGTCCCCAAAGCAGTCCCCTTCCCTCCTCCCGACCTTTATCCTCACCTTCATTTGTTTCTGCTTGGTTGTCTGACCTCATTTCCGGTTCCTCCAGGACCCCAGCTTCATCACTTTCCATTTCCAGTTCCTGGTCTCTACCCACCCCTACTTCACAGGGGCCTCATGGCACCAGCAAGGCCATCCCCTTCAATCTTCTCCAACCAAACATCATACATCGAGTAACAACCTGTACTGGGGTGGAACCTACAGCCGGCCTGCCCTCTCTGTTTTCACAAGTGTCCCATTTGAGAGTTTAATGACACTCTGGGTTTTGGGGCTGCTCTGTGTGTGGGGCCATGCCCAGTCCCCTAAATGAATTCACAGGCATTATTCCCTACAACAAACCACTGAGGTAAGTCCCATTGTGATCTCCACCTTACAAGTGAGAAAACTCAGCCTTAGAGAAGTTATGAGACCCACTCAAGGTCACAGAGCTCATCTGTGGGGCAGGTTCCAAGCCCACACTCCTGATACTGGGCTGGGCTGCCTGCCGAGTGCCCCATCCAGGGGGATGACTTGAAACCACCTTTGATATCCTCTTCCTCCAGGACTCCCCAGTCCCAGCCTTCTCTTTATAACTCGGCCACCACAACCATCTACTAAGGTCTCCTCTGTGATCTCCTCAAACTGTGGTGCAGGAGAAGACTCTTGAGAGTCTCTGGGACAGCAAGGAGATCAAAATAGTCAATGTAAAAGGAAAACAACCCTGAATAGTCATTGGAAGGACAGATGCTGAAGCTGAAGCTCCAATACTTTGGCCACTTGATGCAAAGAGCCAACTCATTGGAAAAGATCCTGATCTGGGAAAGATTGAAGGCAGAAGGAGAAGAGGGCAACAAAGGATAAGATGGTTGGATGGCATCACTCATTCAAGGGACATAACTTTGAATAAACTCCAGGAGATAGTGAAGGACAGGGAAGCCTGGTGTGCTGCAGTTGGGGTCAAAGAGTCTGACACAACTGAATGACTAAACAACAACAACAAGGTCTCCTCTCAACTACATCACCCTCTTCTGTGAAGTCCTACCCGCAGGTCAGATGTCCGGTTTGGATGTTGGGAAGGGAGATTACAACATGGAGGAGTTCCTTAACTGAGAAGAGGCAGTAGTGAGGACATGGCCCCCCATCCATGCGACAGAGAAGCCTGGCCTCCCCTCTCCAGGCAGAAGCTTGAGCAAGGACCCAGGTCAGATGTGGTCAGAGGAAAGCTGGAAGCAAAGGAGCATCTGCCTCCCGCACCACCTGGAAGGCTAGGAAATGTCACAGCCATGTGGGCTCCATGTGCCCATGGCAGCAGGGCCGATGGGCAGATTGCTGGGCCAGAGAGGTCCTCACATTCCAAGTGGGGCTGTGGTGTTCTAAGACTTGAGCTTCTCTTCTAAACAGGAGAAGCTCAAGAAGAACAAAGAAGCCACAGTGCAGGGGGATTTGCGGCAAGAGGCAAGGACCAGAGGCACAGGCTTGACCAGTGGGCCCCAACCCCAGCCAGCCTCCTTCATCCTTAACCGTTCCCAGTTCCAGGACCAGGCCAGACCAACCGCCTCACCTGGGAACCAGCAGGAGGCAGGGGGCTCAGGAACAGCAAGTCCATACAGCCCTGTGTACCCACAACCAGCCACAGTTCGCACAGCCCTGTATACCCACATATTATGGAAAAAGGGCAGGAATCGGAAGACAGAGCTGTCACCAGAGTAAAACCGTGTTCCTTAGGCTGAAATCCCCCAGGAGCATGGTATCTATAATTGATCAATATATTAATATGTAATTAATCATTAATAATACCACACTGCATGTTTGAACATTGCTGAGAGGAGATCTTAAAAGTTCTCATCACAAGAAAAAGAAATTTGTAACTATGTGTGGTGACAGATGTTAATTAGACTTACATGGTGATCATTTCACAAGATACACAAATATAGAATCATTATGTCATACATTTGAAACTAATATGTATTAATTATATCTCCATTTTAAAAGTTTTTTAAAAATCTTAATTGAAAAAGAAAAACATATAACAGAAGCTAACATTTGGCTCCTCCTCTCTTCCTAGTCTGGGCTTCCTTCATGGCTCAGTGGTAAAGAATCCGCCTGCCACTGCAGGAGATGTGGGCTTGATCCCTGGTCCAGGAAGATCCCCAGGAGAGGAAATGATAGCCCACTCCAGTATTCTTACCCTAGGAACTCCCAAGGACAGAGGAGCCTGGTGGGCTACATCCAAGGAGTCACAAAAGAGTCAGACACAATTTAGTGACTAAACAACAACAGTTCTTCCTAGTCTATGGTTTTATGTGACTTACTAACTTCCTGGGCTTCGGTTTCCTCATTTGTAGAATGGATGCAATCGTGGTATCTCGTGATAAAGGGATTGTGAAAACAGAAGATCATGTGATATAAAACACCTGGTGCAGCAGCTGAGGCAAAGCAGGTCACTATACTTGAGTGTCTTGTTTATGAGCATCGGCTCTGTGCCAGGACTCAAAGACGTGTTCTCTGTCGAGTGAAACCTGTGCAGCCCACTCAGGAGACCCCTCGGGTGTCAAAGTCTGTGTACACATGGCCCCGCTGGTTGCCCAGAGCCCCAATGAACAGTTCCTCACGAATATGGTGGATATCGTACCTTGTGTGACACCTTGGGGGCAGGGGTTTTGGGAACTCAGAATCTTGCTTGGGTTTTCTGACAGCAATCTGGTGCATCTATCATAGAGCATACAGCAGAGCCAAGGATCAACCGATGAGCAAACGGCAGGATTTCTGCAACAAGACATGCAGACATTGCCCCTCTCCTTGGTGGGATGAATAACTACAAAGAACATCACATCTGTTCGGTTCTGGTTTTAAAGCCAGAGGAGTCTGTACCAAACTTCAGAAAAAAAGTCCCTTCTGAGGCTTTTGAGATTCTGGAAGGGTAAGGGTGCACTTAAATTACACTCTGCATCTTATCTATGAGGAAACTGAAGCTTAGAGACATAGGTCTTCCAACCCCTCCACCCGTTGCCAGCAACTGACTTAAAAAATTACAATTATTCAACCCAACATTATAGTAAGGAAAAGACAAACTTCATAAAACTTAGAATATTTATTAGTATGAATCAGTGTGCATTAAACCAAAAATAACAGATACAATTGGACGTGGAAGGCAGTGCTTTAGTACAGAATGCAAGGTGGACAGGTAGGTCCTAAGGTCTGCAGTGGTGTCTTCTATACGTGAGAACTGGGTCCAGCCCAGACACAGGCCCCTTATGAAAACACAGAGGGGGCAATGTACACAATCAAGTGCTGACACTGGATCTCTGGGTCTGGTTTTAGTAACGAAGGTTAAACCAGAACCTAACGGGGCTGAATGTGGCTCAGAGCCCTTTCTTTCACTCGTTATTCAAGTTGTGATGAGTGTCGCAGAGTAGAGAGAAGCAGGGCCCTGAGAGTAGCCTATTGGGCCATCACAGGTCACGTTCCTCAACCTCAGGGGACACATCTCGGTCACCTGAGCCCCCCTGGGTCCTCCACGGGGTCCAGCCCTTTGCTTGGCTAAAGACTGGCTTCAGCTCTCCAGACTTCTCTGGTCTGCCAAAGTCCCCTGACACACCGCTCCCCACTATAAAGATGGCAGCTCAATTACGAGCATGCAGCGTGGGCACAATTCCACTGCCACCTGGGAGAATTCCCATGGGGAGACAATCCCCCTGACAGCCCATGCCCAATTTACATGATTGAGTCACGAGCCACACTCAGCCAGGGAAATGGATCACATGTCACTGTAACAAATCTGAAGTTGTATTGACACACGTGTGCATATGTACCACATGGGAGAGGAAGGAAAACAGAAAAGCACATCTGGGGAAACTGGGGGAAGGACGCTGCTGAACAACTTGGAACAACACTGATGTCCAGGCCTTTACATCACATCACACGGTGATGGTTCAGAGATTAGCACAGTCAGAAAGTAATCTCAAGGCAAAATAAGGGAAGATAAGCAAGGCTCCTTGTGGACAAGGCTCGAGCCTCTGTCTTCAGAAAAGACCCCGCGTTCCTGTGAATGTCTATGTGCCCGAGGGCTGTCTTCTCTTTCCACAACTGCTCCAAGGAGTGACTACAGGCACATGGCCGGCCGATGCCTTGAAAAGTTAACGCTGCACAGAAAGGCAAACAAGTGGCTCCCATCCACATGGGCTTCTGAAACTAAGCCATAGGCTCACGGGTGGGTAGCCTGCTATGCATGGTTAAGACAAGCTCTTTTATGCAAGATGGGAGCGCTAAACATCCAGCCCAAAGCTGCAAACTCCTCCGGGCCATGTACCTCCTTAGCTAGGCAACCTTGTCTAGAGACAAGCTCTGGTCCTTGGGGACGGCCAGATGATGAAAGATTCCAAAATAAGCCTGCATGCCACCTGGAACGAGGTCACTTGAATGTGCAACCCACATTTTTTTAAACTTTGTTAAGAGGCAAGATAATGGCTCAGCCTGCAAGCAGAATCATGGAGCCCATAATGTTGACAAGGTGCACAAAATCCTTAAAACCCTGCAAAGGCCCTACCAAAGTGTCCAAGTTCCAATTTGCCAACAGTTTTAGGGGAACCCGTCTGGAGTTTAAGCTCTTGAACCAAAAGTAAGTGTTTTCAGCTTCCATGTCCTAAGATTGTCAAACGATTCTCACAAGCTGAGTGAAGTGGTAAGAGCATCAAATTGACAACATATTCTCAAGTTGAAAAAAACCTAAGTCTGAGATTTCAAACTGTTTTCTTCATTGCAGCCCATGTGAAGAAGTGTGAATGGGGCCCTGATCTCACAAGGACTCTCACTGTTTTTGATGGTAGACTCAGTATCCCCAACCATCAAGGGCTGGTGGGACCAGCATGGCAGGGCTCAAGAATGGCTCCACACCAAGTTACAGAAAGTTCAAGGTCTTTCATTGGCTCATGATCTCTTTCTTGATTTTTACATTGTAGGTCTTCAATGAATGTTTGTTGAGCCTTGAAGGTATCAACTGGTCCTGTTACCGCACTACCTGGTCAGCCACATCTTACCCCACAAAAGGCACCAATCTGAATCTCCTCCAAGGTTCACTTCCTATCCTGAGCCTTCCTAGGAAAACAACCACTTGTCCATCCCAGGTTTTTATGATAATTAGAAAGAAAACAGGATGTGAACTTTCAATAGGGATAATTTTCTTCCCTTCCACTGGATTCAGAATTAAAGATATTCACTGGGATTCCCAGGTGGCTCAGTGGTAAAGGATCCGCCTGCCAATGCAGGAGACATAAGAGATGTTGGTTTGATCCCTGGGTTGGGAAGATCCCCTGGAGGAGGAAATGGCAACCCACGCCAGTATTCTTGCCTGAAGAATCCCAAGGATGGAGGAGCCTGGCGGGTTACTGTCCATGGGGTCGCAAAGAGTGAGTTATAGTCCATGGGGTTGCAAAGAGTCAGTTACGACTGAGCACAAAACAATTCATTGAGCTGACAGGGAGTCTGAAAAGGGAAGGTTCATCAGAGCCTGTTTGCAGCTAACAGGCATTCCAGGGGTAGACCTCTGTTCAACCTTAATACCCACCCCACCAAAGCTTGGCCTCTTTTAAAGACCCTCTGATTTCGTAGTTTTGGGCAGAGCAGGGAGGAGGGGCAGGCACGGGGGCGGGGAGGGGGGGCGGTGTCTAGAATCTTACTGTGCCCGTACTTCTTCTGGCTGGCTTTCCTATAATCAATTAGTCATTGATATTGTTTAATATGAGAAGTGAGAGAATATTTGCCCTACAATTTAGATTCAAACATCCTCCAGGTAATTTGTTCCAGGGATATGGCACTATGTCACACTCTCTTAGTAAAATAACACTCTGTGCGAAACTTCCCTAAAAGAGTGGGGATTTATTACCCTGCAGGTCATGCAAACCAGGTGGTCTCTGGAATAACATTTATATCCTGCATTTGTCACTGCTTACACGGTAATGACTCTAAATGATTTCCACCACCAGGCCTCCAACTCCCAGCACAAGATGAAATACTGTAGTCGGGTTCGGTTAGTTGGTTTATATGACCAAGGCTTAGAAAAATGTTCATGGAGTAAAGGTCAGAGATGTAGACAACAGTTCCTAATACATCTTTCTCCACTTTCATAACAAGCTCGAATTCTACCATAGATGGTCCAATTACACCTCACTGAAAGGAAAATTAAGGGGACCTTTCAGAAAAGGTTGGTGGAATAACTAAAGCAATAGCACTGAAGAACTTCCTGACATTTGATTAGAAACACAGGAAATCATAATGGAACACCACTTTAGAATCTCACACACATAAGCCAGTAAAACTTTTGTACAAATTTAAGAATATTTTAAGGCTTTAAAAAAAAAACTCAACTCTACTTAATACCTAAATCCGTTCCCTCTGAGTGAATTTCACACACCAAAGGCCCTTCTGTGGCGGGGTGGTGGGTGTTCCCAGAGTTTCCCAGAATCCTTTTCCAGGGACATTTCCTGCCCTGTTCTCTGTGGGGCTCTCCTCCCTCTGAGCCAGGGGCCAGACCACCGAGGTGGGAGGCCCTGAGGCAGCGCCCAGGGAGGGAGCTCCGGCCTCTTCAAGTACAGGGGACCCAGCCCCGGTTTAGCAGCACCGCCGGCCGGCCTGCGAGGTTGGCTTCCCCAGTTTGATGGATCCACTGTTTCCATTTTCATGGGGGTCCAGGGGTGGAATCTGGCGACCTGCAAGGAAGGGAGGCCAAGGGTGAGTTGTTGTTCCCAGCTGACCCCCTGTGCAGATGGGGGCCTGCTCCCGCACCCCCAGGTCACGTGCACAACCAGCGGGCTGCAACCAGGTGGAGGGGCTACCTCTCCCAGTGTCCCCCCACCACGCCACCCCCCGGGCTGGGCTGTGAGATGTCAAACATAGACGGTAAAGGAAAGGTAAAACCAGCTTTCTGCATCGGCCTTCTCCACACAGGCATCAGCACACTGCTCACTCCCAGCCTTCCCCCATCCGCCCACTGGAACGACCGCCTCTCAGTTTCAACAGCAACAGTGAGGCCTCAGCTTCTTAAAATAGACCTGGCTGGGGAACTGTGATGGTCCCAGCAACGCTGCGTATTAACACCGGGTTTCCATCCCTCATCCTGCCAACGCACTCAGAGCGTTAGCGGGAAAGCCTCTAGAGACATTTTTCACAGGAAACAGTATCTTAATACCATAAACAAGCAGAGCAAAATGTTAGTCACTCCGTCGTGTCTGACTGCTTGTGACCCCATGGACTGTAGCCCACCAGGCTCCTCTGTCCATGGGACTGATTCTCCAGGCAAGAATACTGGAATGGGCTGCCGTTCCCTTCTCCAGGGGATCTTCCTGACCTAGGGATCGAACCTGGGTCTCCTGCATTGGCAGGCAGATTCTTTACTGCTAAGCCACCAGGGAAGTACTGCAATACACTTATGATTTCTTAAGTCATAAAACTGAGGTGCTGGAGAAGACTCTTGAAAGTCCCTTGGACAGCAAGGAGACCAAACCAGTCAACCCTAAAGGAAATCAACCCTGAACATTCATTGGAAGGACTGATGCTGAAGCTTCAATACTTTGGTCACTTGAGCTGACTCACTGAAAAAGACCCTGATGCTGGAAAAGACTGAAGGCAGGAGGAGAAGGGGGTGACAGTGGATGAGATGGTTGGATGGCATTACCAATTCAATGGACATGAGTCTGAGGAAACTCCAGAAGATAATGAAGGAAGGGAAGCCTGGTGTGCTGCAGTCTACAGGGTTGCAAAGAGTCAGACTTGACTTAAGTGACTGAACAACAACAACAAGGCAAGCCCCTTAAAAAGAGCAGGAAGCCACCAGCACTGTGGAAAGACACCGAGAACTCAGATCCTGTGGTCTGAGTTACCTGAAACTTACTGAAAGCTTAAACATACTTACACAAAAGAAGAGTTCCAGAAAATGCCATAGCATTCAGTACCAAGGCGATCACCTTGGAACCCTGTTGAATCAGTATTAATTACATGGGCACAGAATAGGGCAAACAAACACACACACACACACACACACATCTGAAAGGCTCTGGGCATCCGAGCATGTCTGTGCTGTTACAAAATGTCCTCTGAGAGCACAGTCTCCACACAGGTCCTCTGGAGGATAAATCCCACAGCAGGGTGTTTATTTTAATAAGGTTTGGATTGTGCAAGATCCTGCTCAGGAAAAGTTAAAAGACTTTTTTTTTTTTGAGTTCTGTCTTCCTGAAAGTTGACAGCCCAGAGAAAAAGCAGGTTTTGTAAATGATTCCTCAAGAACAAAGTTATGGGAGAAAACCGATTCCAAGCCTGTAAACCGTGGTCCCTCTGGACTGGGGCTGTGACGCTTTTATACACAACAAAAATAAAACAGCACACTCAGCGGCAGCTGTCCTGGGGACCAGCCGCTTCCTGCACAGGCTTGGTGTCTTCTTCCTGCCAAGCTGCTGTCTGGGTGCTTCCCTTGCTCACTCCGGCCCCAGGATCTACCAGGCTCCGCTTTGGTTGGATGGGTGGTAGAGGGGCTGGTACCTGCTTGTCACTTCCATTTCTCAATTTTGATTTTCTGAATTATCCAGAGAAGTAGACTGACTATGCTTACCTGCTTCCCTAGTGGCTTAGATGGTAAACAATCTGCCTGCAAGAGAGAATCAGCAGATCCCTGGGTCAGGAAGATCCTGTAGAGGAAATGGCAACCCACTCCAGTATATTCTTGCTTGGAGAATCCCATGGACAGAGGAGCCTGGTGGGCTACAGTCCATGGGGTCACAAAGAGTCGGACACGATTGACTAACACACTAACAAACTGACTTTGTTTACTAGGACTCAGCAGCATTTGCTCTTAATCACGATCTCCCAGTCTCTCTATTTGGTGCGGGGGTCGGGGGGGGGGTCCTCTCTGACCCACTGCAGAGCTCACGATCAGGTGGCCCTGCCCCAGGAATACAGAATGGGGCTGGCGCCACACTTGTGACACCTGAGGTCATCCTCTGAACTGTCCTTTTGCTGCCATCAAGAAGACAACATTGGGACTGCAAGATAACCTGGAATATTAGCATCTAGACCTAGGAAGGCGCTAACACTCTGTGCAGGATGAGCATGGCGTAGGATTCAGGAAGTGGATTCAGCCAGGATGCTGGCAGGAAATCCTGGTCAGGGATAATGAGAGTGCCATGGAGAGAAGTAGAAAATAGGGAGGGAAGGAGGACTGCAGGAAGATACCTGGCAGACGTGACAACTGATCGGAGGCAGGAGGGTGAGAGAGGGAGGAAGAAAACTGAAGTTCAGGTCCAGGAGTCGTGGAAACAGTGGTGCCCCAGCAAAGAAGAAAGTAAGGGGCGAGATCACCACTGACCTTGAATCCAAAACAGCAAACGTCTTCAACGTGGAGGGGCTTACGTTCCTTTGAAATCATTAGGCTTCCTTGCTATTCAAAGACACCACTTCCCTTCTTAAAAAAAATGAGGAGACTATATGTGGGGGGAGGGGCAGTTTTAGGTTTACAGAAAAAATCAAGCATGAAGTTCAGAGAGTCTTCATACACTCCTCCCCCTCATCCCCAATGTCCTCTATTTTAACACCTGTCATGCGTGGGGACCATTTATTACAACTGATGAGCCACTGCTGATCATTAAGTGAAGAAATAAGAAAACAACTCAAGGGACTTGCCTGTGGTCCAGTGGTTAAGAATCCGCCAGCAAACACAGCGGACACAGGTTCGATCCCTGGTCCAGGAAGAGCCCGCATGCTGCAGAGCAACTAATCCCACAAGCCAAGACTACTGAAGCCCACGTGCGGTAGCTGCGGGAGCCAGCACTCCACAACAAGAGAAACCACTGCAGTGAGAAGCCAGAGCCCTGAAACGAAAAGGAGCCCCCCAGTGCTGGAGCTAGAGAAAAGCCCACATTCAGCAACAAAGAGCCAGCACAGTCAAGAGAGATCAATACTTTAAAAAAACAGCAAATCCATACAAAATGGGAAAAAGTTGAACAGACACTTCACCAGAGGAGACACAAGGATTGATGAACAGGCCCTCAACACTGTCGGTCATCAGAAGATGGATGTCAAAACCACAAAGAGAGAGCATCACATTCCCATCCGAATGGTTGAAATTTAACAACTGGTCGTCCCACCTGCTGGCAAGGAACTGGAGCTACTGGAGCTCTGCGGAATTAGAGGTGGGAGTGAAAAATGCTAAAACCACTTTGGGACACAGGCTGGGGGACCCTTAGAATATGGACTACTGCCTATGAGAGGAGCCAGCCACGCTCCTTCTAGGTGTTTATCCACACAGAAACTTGTGTGTGAAATCTTATCACAGCCTTGCCTGTAATCACTAAAACCTGAAAACCATCCACATGTGTAGGTGAATGGATTAACAAATTTTTACTCATGCTATGGCATGCCATGGGAGACTCTTAAGTGTCCCTTGGACTGCAAGGAGATCAAACCAGTCAATCCTAAAGGAAATCAACTCTGAATATTCATTGGAAGGACTGATGCTGAAGCTGAAGCTCCAATACTTTGGCCACCTGATGTGAAGAGTTGACTCACTGCAAAGACCCTGATGCTGGGAAAGACTGAGAGCAGGAAAAGGGGGCAACAGAGGATGAGGTAGTCGGATGGCATCACCAACTCAATGGACAGGAGTCTGAGCAAACTCCTGGAGATAGTGGAGGGCAGGGGAGCCTGGTGTGCTGCAATTCATGGGATCACAAGGAGTCAGACACAATTTAGCAACTGAACAACAAACTTGGATCAGGACAAATGACCTAATTGCTCAAATAAAGAAACTGCATGGAGGGAACCTACTGTGAAGGAGAAGCTTAAAAGGCACACCAGCTAATTTTATCACTGTACATGGAGCTTATTTGCATCCTGACCCAAACATACTGTTAAATGCAAACAAATCATTTCTGATAATTATAAGCTACTAAAAATTTGAACATCACAAGTTCAATGTCATTAATATGATAATAGCATTATGACAATGAATGCCACCATGTAATTGCTTTGTTAAAAAAAAGTTACATACTGAAAATATTTACAGATGAAATGATGTCCTGGATTCCCTTCAAAATAATACAGGTGTGGGAGGAGGGGCAGGCTGGGGGAAGTGTGGGGTAGGGATGAAGGCAGCTTGGTTATGAGAATGGTATGCCCCATACATCTGCAGGTTCTGTATCCTCAGATCCAACTTACCTCAGACTGAAAATAGTCAAGAAAAAAATTCTGGAAAGTTCCAAAAAGCAAAATTTGAGTTTGCCACACTGGCAACTATTTGAATAGCATTTATACTGTATTTACAACTGCATAGCATTGTTATGGTCTTAGGTATTATTTGCAATCTAGAGATGATTTAAAGTATATGGGAGGATGTGCGCAGGTTATACAAAAATACAATGCTCTTTTATACAAGGGACCGAGCATCTTCGGATTTGGTGTCAGTGGTCCCGGAAGCAATCCTCCAAGGGCACCAAGTGATGACCATACCTGATGTTCATTACATTCTTCAGTTTACTGGTGTATATGTTTACATTTTTCCATAACAAAGTCTTTTTTTTTAAGTACCCTGCAATCTCAACACCAAGAAACAATCACTGTTAACATTCTAACAAGTGTGTTCCCTTTGACTCTGCCCAAAAGCATATATTTACAATTACATAGTCTACGTACTTAGTCTCTCAGTCATGTCTGACTCTTTTTGACCCCATGGACTATAGCCCTCCAGCATCCTCTGTCCATGAGGATTCTCCAGGCAAGAATACTACAGTGGGTTGCCATGCCCTCCTCCAGGGCATCTTCCCAACTCAAGGATGGAACCCAAGTCTCCCTCAATGCAGGCAGATTATTTACCATCTAAGCCACCAGGGAATGTAGTCTATGATTCACATTTTATAAAATCAGGATATTATACAAAGTGCCCTGTAATTTCTGTTTCACACACAACAATTTATCTTTTTATGTCAGTAAAGACAGATTTACATCCTTGTTTTTAATCACTAGTTTATACTGATGTTCCACCATTATTAAAAAATCATTTCCCAAGTTTTGGGCAGTTAAGTCATTTCCTGTTTTTCACCATCATGAATAACGTTACCAGAAGTTGCCATCTGCAATAAGAAGTGGACTGAGACTGAGACTGGCGGCTCAGAGCATGGGTTCTGGAGTCCTGCTCTCAGGACTGACCCCCTGTGATGGGAGTAAGTTGCAAACCTCTCCACACCTCAATGTCCTCATGTAAAGCAGGGACGATAACAGAGACGATTTCATAAGATAAATGGGGCATTAATGAGCTAGTAAACATTGAAGCAATTATTTATTTCAGACATAATTACCCAGTATAAGAAAAATGCCTGAAAAATCCCATGGACAGAGTAGCCTGGTGGGCTACAGTTCAAAGGGTCACAAACAGTCAGACACGACTGAGTGACTAAGCACTACATAAGCAAAACATTTGTTTTTCCTAAATGAAGTAGACCGCCAGGCTCTCAGGAATTCCTTATGCAAAGTCCCCATCACTTTAAGCCATAAAGACCTCATATAAAAAAAGAAGAAAAAAAAAGAAAGGGACTTTCCTAGCAGCCCAGTGGTTAAGACCCTGTGCTTCCACTGCGGGGGGGTTACAGTTTCAATTCCTAGTCGAGAAGCTAAAATCCCACATGCCACATGGAAGGGAAAAGAAAAAAAACCTCATATGCATGAAGAGATTTATACTGGCTGAGCCGTGCAAGGGAATATCTTTCGAATTAAGAGACTAATGCTTGGATTTAGGTTTGTTTTCTTCTGTGAAGCCGTTACATCATTTTTTATTGAAAACATGACTTTGCATAAACCTTGGGAGATTTCCTAGCTCTTGGAGAAATCCCAAGGTGAATTTCAGGTACACAGAGCTGCACTGATGCTGGGAGAGAGCTCTGGAAAATACGGGGAGCTACACAGGGGCAGGGTGACAGATGCACACGACTGTATGTGACGCAGATAAACAACAAAGACTCTACTCAATATCGTGTAATAGCCTATAAGGGAAAAGAATCTGAAAAAGAATACATATATATACATAATACATATATAGACACACACACGTGTATAACTGAATGACTGCTCTACACCTGAAACTAACATGACATTGTAAATCAACTATGCTCTAATTAAAAAAAAAAAAAAAAACAGATCAGAAATGAGGAAAACCTTTCCACATCGACTCTTTACCCACAGGTCACGTAGGAGGGAGACACTGTTTCTTGTTGATGATCACCAGACACAAAAAATGACTACAAGCTACTCTTGTCTGCTTTGCCCAGAGTCATTCAGCTTCATGGGTGACTTTGGTTTTCCATATCTTTCTCACTCTCTGTTTTCTTTTTCCTCCCCTCAACATAGGAACATAAATGCTATAGAATACGTAATTCTGTAAGTAAAATAAATTTTATTTTGCAACGGAGTTACTTCATTCTGAGTCGTGAAACACAGACTGGACAAGTGAAAGCACAGACTCTTGGAGAAAGAAATCAGAGAGGGGTCGGGTGGGTCTGCAGGAACCTGGGCAAGGCTGCAGAGTTTAGCGTCTGTGGCATCAGATAAATTGACTCAGAGGAAATGCTCTGCTCCAGAGCTCTGTGGCTTTTATCCTCTGAGCCCCAGAAGCATAAAGATGCAAACTATGCTGAAAACACAAACCAGGTACTTACTGATTCCTTGAAAGAGCTCTTCGATATTAATCGCGTTCTTTGCACTTGTCTCAACTACGACGGCACCAATGGACTCCGCATACTCCCTGGCATCCTTCAAGGGCACCTCCCTGGAAAAGAGGGCAGACCAGCAGAGGTGAGTGCCCATCTGTACAGAATAAATAACCCGGCAGAGCAAACAAACAGCTCACGTGCAAACAGCTCCCTCGTGGGCCTGCAGAATAACAACTCAGTCGCCTAGTAAGTATTAGAAACGTGGGTGAAGCTTTTTCAAGCTTGAAACCCAGTCTCTGGCATCCATTGAGACAGGACATGCATGTATAAGCTACTGTCCCTGGTCCCACCAAAGGAGAGAATTCCAGAACAGTAGGAAAGGCATTACAAGTGAGGCCAGCTTTCAGAGTTAGGATTGGTTCCACATTTTTTTCCTATAATAATGACTCAATGTTTTTTAAAAACTGCACATGTGCACACACTTGCATATGTGCTTTTCTAACACTTTCTGTATATTGCCTTTTACAAATCAGAGAAAATACATGACATGATCTGGAAGACTGGAAATGAACACATTTACAGTTCCAACGGCGTATTTGAACTTTCTCCTTTAAAAGGCTGTTACTGCAAAGGTTTAGGACATGAACTCAATCCAGATGAATAATCTAAAAAGACATTTACTGATGTACTTTCTCAGGTGAAGATATTGCGACAGATTGAAAGATTAAAAAAGACACAGTTCCTATTCTCCAGAAGTTTATTCATTGATTCAACCAATATTTAGAGAGAACGGTTGGATGCCAGCTCTTTCTTGTAGGCAGTCCCTGCCTTATGGAACCTACACCTGCCTTATGGAACCTACACACACAGCTATGGACACACTAAGCCACACTATTACAATGTCTGCAACACATAGATAACAAAGTAAGTGCTCAGGAGTGGAGGGGTGGAGAGCTGAGCGTCTGATCCACAGAACCTGGGCAGGTGCCAGAGAGGAGGCCACTGAAGTGTGGCCACCAGGGGCAGCGAGAACGTGGACCAGAGCCTGACAGTGGTCCCCCAGGTGGGGTGCGCCCTCACCCCTCGCGTGGTGTGGGACCCACTGCCACGTGGACACCTGAGCCATGTCGGCTGGACTCTACACTTGCCTTATTATTCTTACCAAGGACACTCCGGGCAAAACGACCCTTTTGAATCTACTCTCTTCCTCGTTTCTAACAGACAAGCCCCCAGGCCTCTCAGTTATTTAAAAAAACCAAACTCTTCAGTCTTTTGGTGGTGATGAATTTTACAGATGAAATATCCCAGAAGAGGGCTTTTTTAGGTTCAGTTTGGCAAGTTACTCTACTTTTTTTTCTTTTTCTTCCTGGCCGTCTTTATCAAACCAAAGCTCAAAGGATGGGGCTCCTCCCTGCCCTAAGGTGGAGCAGAGGAGACTGTGTGTGCTCACAGGTGTTGGGGGGGGGGGGGCCCTCTGGCCACAAGGAAGCTGCGGAGAACCCTCCCCTCAAGGGAGGGAAGGTCAGTCCAGGCTCCAGTGTGTCCAGTGTGACCAAGAGGAATAGAATACTGTCTACCAGGATTATGATGAGAACAAAGTCACTCATGACAAAATCCAAACCACCCACCCTGAGGGTGACGGGAAGACTTCGAGAAGGGCTGATGCTCTCACAGCTGACAACGCTGGGCCCTGGAAGGCGGAGAGAGGACAAGCGTGTCCTCTGATTTCCCCCAGGTTTAGAAACAGGTCTCGTTAAACAGATGACCTGCCAAGGTGACGTGATGACTCGGGGAGGAGGCAGGGCCAGCCCAGCAGGTTCTGCTCACACTGCTCCCATCCACCCACCCAATAGGAACCCACATTCCTGAGGCTGTTCCTTCAGTCTTTACAAAGAAATGTCCCCAGAGTGAGGCACGGTGCAGGCAGGGTTGGGGACAGGGGCCAAGTGTGGACTGTCCTGAAGAACAGGTTCCCGCTCTGGGAGCCTGGGGGGCCAGGGGCATCCCTCTCCCTCATCAGTGAACTGAGATTAGCATCAGAAATGAGCTGGACTGCAGGACACCCAATGGGTGTCGGAGAACTGTTGTTGGAACAAACAGTACAGCTACAATCTGAAAGCAGACCCTGGGAAGGTGAGCATGTGCTGCCTCGGGCCTCCAGCAGACATGTGACCAACAGGTGGCCTTGGGAAGCCTTTCAGCTGAGTCAGGAGAGGTCACGCACAGCCCGGGGAGGGGGTTGGAGGGCACCTTGGAGACAGGCCTTCTTCGATCACCCTCACAAAAGACCACGGCATCCGTAACTTTCCTTCAGTTCCTTCAACAAACATTTACCAAGTGTCTGCCATAGGCTGGGTGCTTTGTTAGGCTTTCAATAGGGAAATTGAAGCAAGTCCACCCAAGCCAAGGCATAAGCACACAGCAGATTTTGATGAGAAAGAGTACTTTTAGACTTTCAAGATGAAGTTACATCCAGGAAGGCAGGACTTCCAGAAATGCTGTGCCTCAACTAAGTTCCTGTGGGTGCCTCTGACTGGTCCTCCAGCTCTTGCAGTCATCACCCCCAGGCCCACCGAGGGGATCAACACACAAATCCACCAAATGTTCCTGTGAACAGAATTCATCCATGTCTTCTAACCTGTAAAACCCACTGCCTTGGCTTCCTGCCTTAGACCTCCCTGTTCATGCCCAGACGACAGCCATTCTGGGTGCTTCCGGAGCGCACGTCTGTCTCTGGGTCTCTGCTCTCACCCACCCTTCCGCATCCCCCTGACGACCGTCCACACGAGGGCTCCTAGAGAGTGCAGCGCAGCATCCCCTCCTTGAGAGCCCAGAGCCCTGGTGAGACTTGTCACCTGAATGTGCTGTGGATTTTTGTGATCAGGACCACGGTTTGCTTTGGGGAGGCTTCCCTGGTGGCTGAGATGATAAGAAATCACCCTGCAATGCAGGAGACCCAGGTTTGATCTAGGGTCAGGAAGATCCCCTGGAGAAGGGAATGGCAACACACTCCAGTATTCCTGGAGAATCCCATGGCCACAGGAGCCTGGAGGGCTACAGTCCATGGCGTCGCAAAGAATCAGACATGACTGAGTGCCTGAGGGCACACACAGGAATCCTAACAGGGCCAGGCGCCTAGGAGGCAATCAGTCAGCACTTGCTGAATGTCAGGGTGACCGTCACCGCGAGTGGCCTTCAGCAGAGAGGAGAACTCAGGTAAAGGGGGTCCAAGCAGCCTTCAGGGGAAGTATGGGGAGTGTGGACAGGGAAGGAGCGAAGATTCACCCAGCCAGGAGGGAGACTTAGGGCTGAAAAACACACGAGCGGGGGCATCTCCCCCAGCCCCAAGCTCCAACAGTCCCCAGAGGTCACACTGCAGGGAGGTCCACGCACCAGCCATCCAGGCAGAGGCCACCAGTTCTGGGAGGCTCCCCATGGGGGAGGAGGGCGGGAACCCACAGTCCTGTGGCTCCAGACTTCTCCACAGGCCAGGCTGCCCAACGAGGGTCCTTGTTTTGTTGTTGGCGGGTGTAACCCAGCAACGCAGCAGCTGACTCATTCCAGTCTGGGGCTATTTAATTCCCCGCGAGCCTCCTCCATGGATGGCGGGGGAGGGGTGGCAGGGACCCCAAGAAGGCACTCCAGGGGCCCCGCCTGTGAGGAGGGGAGTCCAGTCAGCAGGCCGGGGCAGACCAGCACCCCGCCCTTGGGTGCCATTCCTGACAGCAGGGAGCGGTGACCTCCGTGGGCCTCCCGTGCAGAAGTGCAATGCTCTGGCCTTGAACTCTCGTTCACAATGTGTCACGGGACAGCACTCACGTCAGAAAGGCAGCCCAGCCTGCTGCTTACGGGGGTGAGATTTTCTCCTTCAGTGACCAGCCTCTCCACATCTCCCTCACTCAGGTCTCAGCCCCCTTTGCTGCCAGATGGCATGAACACTTTTCCATTTTAAATATAAGTTGATATCATAAAGTGCTCAAAACAGTGCCTGGCACATAAACAAGATAGACCAAAGTTTCCAGAATAAATCTTTACAAAGATGGTACAACTTTCTTAGCAAACGTCCCAAAGATTGAGGAAATGAATCAAGTGGAGGAAACAGGCAAACAGAAGGCCCAAAGTACATCCGAGCCCAAGGAGGTTTATCTGACTCATGACCCTTGTTTAATCACCCAGAAAGGCTCCCAGGCAACGCGTCACTACGCCACAGAAGAACAGAGAACACAGGCTACAGCATTAAATACATTTGTTGGTGTTATTCAGTCACTCAGTCGTGTCTTAACTCTTTACAAGCCCGCGGACTGCAGCACACCAGGCCTCGCTGTCCATCACTAACTCCTGGAGCCTGCTCAAACTCATGTCCATTGACTCAGTGAAGCCATCCAACTATCTCATCCTCTGTTGTCCCCTTCTCCTGCTGCCCTCAATCTTTCCCAGCACCAGGGTCTTTTCCAATGAGTCAGTTCTTCGCATCAGGTGGCCAAAATATTGGATACACTAACTTTCATAAATCACTCCAAGAGTAAAATTACATTATAAAGTTCTTTCTCCATGAGAAAAATCTAACATTAATTCAGAGTAACTTTTATTCAGAGATGGAACATAACTTTTTATAAGCCACAGATACTTGTTCTATGAAATTCTTTTTTTTTCATTCTATGAAATTCTTGTGCTTGTTCTCTGCACACTTTGATTTGGATTGTTTGAATTTTTCTTATTTATTTGTAAGTGCTCTTTGCATATTAAGGAACCTAGCCTTTTGTAATATATTTTCTGCATTTCTTTCAGCTTACCATTTGTATTTAGATGTTGTCTGTGGCATTTTTTCCATACAGGAGTTTTTATATAATCAGACTTACTGATCATTTTCTTCTATGTCTTCTGAGTTTTGTATCATTATTAAATAGTTCATTCCAAGGTTATTTTTAAAAATTCAACTGCTTTCTCTAACTTTTATGGTTTGTTACTTTGCACCTAAATCCTTGATCCGTTTTGAATTTATTTTCTCTCATTTTTTCCTAATTATCCCCAAACCATGTACTGAACTACCCCCTTTTTTGCACTTGTTTAAATATCACCTTTATTGTATACTAAATATCCCTACATATTTCACCCT